GTAGTTCGTTAGTTTACGTTTAGTTTAGTTAGTATAGTAGTACTACTAATATATCGTCGTACGTAACTAACGTACGTACGTCGTACTACTATATAGTATATATATATATATATATATATATATATATATATATATATAGAGAGAGAGAGAGAGGGGGGGGGGGGAAATCCATGGACCTGAAACCTGAAGCCAATAAATACTATACAAATGGGACCAAAATGAGATTCATGTTGAGGACAAGGCCAAGACCCATAGCATGATAAGAGATGATATATCAATAAGAAACCATGTCATGAAGGCCAAGGCTATTGATATCGAATACCTCTCGCATGGCATATGCTGAGTCTTGCAAAAACCTAAGTCCTTATCATAAAGCACGGTTATCCCAGCTGATGAGCAAGCTGCCGCGAGAGATAGAGTCGCCGTAACCTGCATTTCCATTGAATAAATTCCAATTTTGGGGGTGGGGGAGAGATCTGTCATGTTCAGGTCTCATGAAACAAATTAAGCAGTGGACACTTAAACTGTCCTAACTTGGCTAACATGGTTTGTTCAGGTCTCATTGCACAAATTAAGCAGTGGGTACATAAAAATGTGTCCTAACTTTGCTAACATGGTTTAGGAGATATTACTTACCCAGTCTCCGACCACAAAGAGGCTGACCAAGACAGGGTTTTGCAGATCGCGCTTGATTCTCAAAGCATATGCATCAAGCCCTGCAAGCCCCATGCTCCAGAGCATTTGTAGTCCCATTGAAGCCATCAAATAACTGTAGGAAAAAGAAGCCACTGTTCATGCACATGCATGGAAAATTTCAACGTCTTGCGCACACTTTAGTCATAACTAGATCACTACAAGCTATTTGACCATGCAAGAATAAATGCTAACTCAGGGACAAGAAAAAGAGTTACAGTGGTTCAACCAGCGCCTTGAACATATGTTGCCATGGCCTTATATCAAACTAACAAAATCTAATAAACTTAAAAACAAAATACAAAGAGATTCTGAAGAATAAAAATATTTACAAAAGGTTTTAGAGTGGATTTTATTTGTCCTGAGGGAAAAAAAGCAGCATCTAGGAATACTCGCAACAAAAATTAGTAAAGAATCAGAATATTAGAACAGAAGAGCATGAGGGTGTCAGAAACTTAAAATTAATCTCCTTTTCTTTTTCCTTCTCTAGGAAAGCATTACCATCACATGAACATCTAGATGTGTCTCAATTTGCCAAAAAGGTTCACAACCATCTTTCCATGGAAACTATGGACAATTGTAAGCCCCTGATTCTCATTAAGAACAAAAAGATTCTCATTAAGGGAAAATGAGGGAATAGTCTTCGAAAAAAATAACCGTAACGGAATGTTAAAATCTCTCATGATACACAAATACAAAAATAAAATCGAATATATATTACACAGATATGCTCAATACAAGTTCCTTCATAACAATTACAAATACACTGTTTGTAGATTTTTGAGGTAACATGTCTAAACGCTTGCGCCAATAGTATGGATAGTAGAGTTGGTACCCTCCGAAGCACATAAATTTGGGCTTTAGCATCAAGCAGTGGCGAGCTCACTCAAGGACCAAATAGTAAAAGGGTTATATAGTAGATTGGCACCTTGGAAAGGCCATTCTTGTCTACGTGAGGGCATATAGATCCAACATTCCGTGTCTATTCAATGCCACTCTGGTGGCTAAGTTGGAGAGACTGCAGTAAGATCTGGTGGAGAGGAATCGCACAAACACTCAATGAGATGAGAGAACACCCATGGACTAAGAAGACTTGTTTGGATTGTAAGGCTTAGGAAGGTTCACAAGCATTGTTATAGAACTCATTGTGATATTATTGGATAAATGGAATCTCCAGAGGCATGTGGTTAGTGGCAAGAATGGGTTAAGGTATTAGAGAATGTAAAAACTTGTATAGCATTGTGAATGGAATGGGTTTGAAAGCTCTCTGGTAATAGAATTTTTGAAGTTCAAGGTTCCAAGGTTGAGTAATTTAGCAATTGGATGGAGAGGTTTGGTGGTCAACCACTTTGACAAGAGCTGTTGAAATGATTTAACATCTAGGTTTAGGAGAGATTTCGTGGGATAAGAAGAACCTTAAGCAAGTGTGTTGTGACCAGTAGAGGAAATCTTCATATTTCTTTTGAGACAGGGATCATGCAAGTAGCAACATGTTACATGCTAAGTGAGAAGCTTCTACTCCATTGTAGTGCAGTCAAACTTCAGATGAATCTTTCTATTGAGCTCTATGGGCACTGGGATAGAGCCAAACAGGGAGATTGCTGCAGTGAACCAATCCACTATGGGGAAGCCATGCTTGGGCGGCTGGCAATACAGGTTGAGATACTTAGAAGTAACAATCCCCAGAACAGGGGCACTAGAATTTAACAATTTACATATGATGCGCAAGCAGAGATGAAGCACGCTCTCAATCACAGTTAGCAGCCTTTGAAAAATGTGGCTGCCTGGCCACCTACGTAAAGGAAAAAAAGACAGCGGCAACAATGTGTTGGACTTGAATTCCCTCTCTCTCTCACAGAGCAATATGCTCTCTCTTCCCTCCCCCTCCCCCTGGCCCCGGGCAAAAAAAACAATAAAATAAGAAAAAAAGAAGAGGAAGAAAACAACCTCCAAGGGTACAAGTGTATGATACGTGGCCCCTCTCCCTCTCTACGTATATGAAGAAGGTATAGAACACGACCTCCAAGTGTTCGTTGCAAGGTGCCAGACAGACACATACACACATGGAACCTATGCACTCTCTCTCTCCCTTTCACAGAAACCCCCCAAAAAAACAAAAAAAGAAAAGAAAAGAAAAGGACACCACCCCCACCCATATCTAGGACTGCCTAGGCATCTGGGCACCAGCCTAGGCAGTCAAATCTGCCTTCTTGCTTCTTGAACATTGACTGTGAATAAGCTGAAGTCAATGGGGCATTCCTTCTACATCTCTTTAGCATCACATGGTGCTTCCTAGAGCTCCAGCCTCCCTGTCTTCTTATCTCTTTCTGGACTTTGGAACCCTTTTAACAGAGAGAGAACCAATTATCTGGAAAAGCCACTCAATAGCGATCTTCTGGGAAATGTTAATGTCAAACAATAAGATATGTTCATGGATCTTGAAAGACAGAGCTGTGCTGGTTAGCAAGGTGAAACATTTTCTCAGGCCATGTGCTAAATACGTTTGAAAAGAGTGAGGGAATGGGTTACCATTGAAGACAACAATGTCCCTCGACCAAGTGAATGGAAAACTATTGTTGTGGTGAAGCCCACTGGATTAGAGATGTAAAGGACTACATTTACTAGAGAGGTAATATTAAGAAACTGAACTGCACAGAAGGAAACTATCATGCCTTGAATGAAAGATTAAGATGCCTTCTCCATAAATGTCTTCCGAAAAAACAAAAGACACTACAACCCCAAAAAATGACCAGAAGAAGAGGAAGAAGCAGAGATGGGAAGATAGGAAGGTATAGCATAGGCTCGACTCGTCTAACTAAGAACATGATCACGATGGAATGAAGCAGACGCAAAAAATAGTGCATTCCCTCTACGAATTCATTTTCCTTTTTCTCAGCTAGACCCAAAAAAGGTTCTTCTTTGGCTCCACGTTTTTTCTTTTAGTTCAATGGCTTTGGTATTCAAGAGCTAATTATCATCTATTAATAGAAACAAAAGTCCAAATCTCAGTTATATATTGCTAGACACTCTGTTTAGTGAAATTATGGCAACTCATTCATTGAATTTTAACAAACAAAAGTCCAAATCTCAGTTATATTTTGCTAGACACTCTGTTTAGTGAAATTATGGCAACTCGTTCATTGAATTTAAATATAAACATCACTATGAATAATAAGCCAAGATAATTATCCAGAAGAATAAAGCTAAAAGTCCAAGACAAGAATACCGCAAAAACAAGGACAGAAGCAACTAGTTTATTTTTCATTTTATGTACTTTCTATGACCAAATTTCTTGGTAATACAAAGATGTCAATGAATTTGATAACGAAACATCACCCACCACTGCCAAAAAAAAAAACCCAAAAAAAGAAAAAAGGATAGCTTACATGAAATAATGCATCCATTCGAAGATCCAAGAACAAAGAAAATTTTCTTCCATCAAAGGAAACCTATGCATTAATTATATCTCAAAAGCATTTAAGAAACAAATAAACGAGAAATTGGAAAAAAAAAAAAAACCTTGAAATTAGAAGAGCATTTAAGAAACAAATAAACGAGAAATTGATAATAAAAAAAACTTGAAATGAGAAGATACTACTTATACCAGAGCTAAATAAACATAACATAAATATAACTCAAATGGGATCAAATAACATACCAAAATGCGGTGTAGTTCGAGAAACCAGATGCTGTAACCATAACCCCCATTGAAGCAGCAGCAAATAAGCATTGTCCTAACCTCAAAAGAAGCCCGCTTAGAGTTCCTGGTGTTCCAGGCAAATCCTTCATCGCCTCAATTCCTAGGGCACCTTCCCAAAAAGGGAACGCCCTAAACAGAATTAAAAAAGGGAAAAAAATAAAAGAAAAAATGAGCTTGCAGGTATTGCAGATGGGGAGTCCACCCAAATATGGAAATCGAATGGAGCTAAGTGGAAACCCTAAGATTCCAATTTATCTTCTGAATCAGAAAAGGAAACAAAACTCTTAACCGGTAAGCCTTTCATCAGCTGAGCTCGCAGGTATTACACAGTGAGACTCCACCCCAATTGGGGATCAAATAGGGCTTTGTGGAAGCCCCAGAATTCCAATTAGTGCTCTTATATCAGAACATCAAATCCTAATATCTGACATGTTTAGCCCCAAGGAGCAGCAGAGTGAGAGTCCAACAAAACTGACAATAAAAGATAGCTGTTAAAAAACCCTAGATTTCTTCTCTGCATTCCGATCACACCAGAAAACATGAATATTCCTTAGATTTGAAATGCTTGGCTCAAAGGAGTTGGGGGGTGAGTCCAACAAAAATGGATGTTTGGATGGTGGGAAAACCCTAGATTTCCTTCCCCAAATTCATAATGCAACAAAAAATGAAACCCTAAATGGCAAGATGTGACTAATTAGCTCAAATGAATTTGCAGAGCGAAAGAAAGCAACAAAAATGGCGACCAAAGCTTTTTCAGAACCTAGAATTTTGGTCGGGTCCACTCCGTCAAAAAGAGAAAGTCTCTGAAAAATTCTCATGTTTTTTGGCCAAAACTGCCCATGGATCTGCAACTCTTCTTAGGCTGATCCAGTAGGGGCTTATTTGTCTTTAACAATGAGCTCGGATCATTATGTCTTTAAGAAAAAAGGTTTGGGTAGTTTGTTGTCCCAGATAAAATCATGAGAGAGAGAGAGAGAGAGAGAGAGTGATTCGATGGGACTGTTCGAGATGGTGTGTCGGATCAATGAAAGCACGTGCACGGAAAGTCGGAAATAAAAAATAGTAGTTGGTGTATAGAGTGTCCCGCGGGAGCGTATACTGCGTATCTACTCCCTCACACAAAAGACGAACTCGAGAGGTATCTTTGAAATGGTTTATGTAAGGTTGCAACTTTACAATGTAGAATTAAAGATGCCCTCCAAAAATCCATCCGAAAAGGTTGTTTTAATGTTTAACAACCTTCTAATTGATCATACATCTGGATGTATGAACATCAAAACAAAAGAAGATTTTGAGTCTTGCAACACATTCTTTAGACCGACCATTTTCAAGATTTTCATATATTTATAGATCTACTTGATTTTAACTATTTTTTAAGCTTAAACTTTTATAATTAGATATGAAAATAGATTTTGAGATAATCCTAAGAATGTTTTACATTAAACTTACATGTTATAATAAATTTTGTAGGTGTACCTTAATTTAATTGTTTATGGTTGCAACCTTATAAAAACCACACCCTATAATTTTTTTGTCTAAAATTTGGGAAACCACCTAAAACTCACTAGATGATTATTTTTAAAAGAAAATTTTTGAATATTGAGTTGTTTACACTTAGATCTCACCCTCTAAAATTTGAAAAAATTAGCCGTTATTTATTCAATCTTAAGACATTATTTTTTTCTGGTACGTGGAGATTTAATTTTGATTTTTTTTAGTGAGGTTAGTCTACCGGGTAAAGATTTTACGCTCCACAAATTTAGAGTTCCAATGTTTCTCCTACCAAATTTAGAATTCTAATGAGTCATTTGGGACGTTAGAATATTCAAATCCAGATTTTAATGGCCTACGGTCCATTGGGTGCAGTTTTGGAGATTATAACCTGGGTACCTCCTGTTGGGTTTATGTGGCCTTTAAAGGCCTTGTGAGTGTGTATTGAAATACTTTCATTTTAATGAAACATAAATTCAGTGGGAGTGTGGTCCCTCGTGGACTATACTAAGCAAATGATATTTATTTATACCAGACTATACTTATCTATCTAGGCCAGACGTTGAAAACTCAAGGTACCTGGGCATAAAGAATTAACCGATGAGGGTTTTGGGTTACCCCTTGATGAGGTCAGAGCTTCTGCCTAGATGAGAGAGTCGAGGGACTGTGTGACCCTTGTGTGTGATTATAGGACTATTGAGATGAGGGCCAAAACCTCATTCATATTCCATCACACAGCATGCATATTGATAGATCGTTCGGGAAAGCCAGATATCTACCTATGGGTGAAGCGTATGCATGTGTGAGAGATACCCATATGCGCCATAGAGCTGTGGTTGCATCAGGTCGTGGTGACCTTAACTTGTCTATAAGGGATGACTTGTAATCCACAGACTAGGATTGCGACTCCTTGATCCATCGACCTGATTTTGGTGAACCGCTAATGAGCCCCTACTTGGACTGTGGGTCATGAAAAATACTGGGTCGGTTCGATAAAGCTAGTGTGGTCTGTAGTCTACAGTTGAAGGTGGAGTACCCCATCATTACAGATTCCTAAAATCATATGGATCCTGTTCCCATCATATTAATTTAATTATGTTCATTTTATTATTGAAATGATTTTAGTTTTATTAGTTGAATTTTTATGAATATCTCAATATTTTATTTGTGATTTTTGGACTTATAAAAATACAGTTATTGTTTTTACAAAGTTTTAAATATTTAAATATATATATTTTAAATTATTTTATTCAATTTTAAAATAATGTTTTTTTTTTAATAAAAATTCCATGGGGGGCCATAATGCACATGAGCCCACCATGTGGCATGTGGGTGGGGGGGCCCACATGTACTACAAAAGGGTGGCACTCCCTACCCTCTTTGGATTATCTTTTTTTTATGTTCAAGTTTTTAAGATAAAGTAAGTTTGATTTGTGTCATGTGGTCAAATCTTGGAAGGGAAATATTGACCATGGCTTTATCTGTTTTATAGCAAGTTTGTTTTAAAAAGATATGATCAATTTGAATTGATATTAAATATTGATTTTATCTTATTTATATTTGGTAGTATTTATTTTCTTGATAATATTTGACATATCCTTATGGAATATGTGACATGGATCATGCAATTTTATGGAATGTATGATATTTATTTTATTTAAATATATTGATGGGAAAATGGTTTAAGGAAAGGGTGATAATGGTTCAAGCACCTTCCACAATGTTGATGGCCCATTTATGGAATGAATGGCTTATATCTCTCACCCCACAAGTCACCTTGATCAACGGTCTAGATTCAATCTTATGAAAGAAACAAACTATGAGAAAACCCTAAACCTAAATATTCACTATAAATAGGGGTTCTCTCCCCCAATTTCTACACAACCTCTCTCTCTCTCCCATAACCTCTCTTTCCCTCCCATACCTCTCTCTCTCCTCTATCTTTCTCTCTCTAATTTTCTCTATCCAAGTTTTAGGTGGTACTCTCTCTCCTCTCTAGACCTAAGTTAATTTTGAGGATTAAAGTTTTAATAGAGATTTTAAGGGGTGGTTACCTAGTTTGGCCGAAATCAGCTATTTCGGTTCGAGATTGAAGCTAGACCACATATCTCGTGCCATTGGATGTGGTGACTGGGTATGGGGTGTAAAAAGCCTGGTTGATGTAATCTTTGGCATCTTTTCTTTTATTTATTAAGTTCTTTTATTTTATATTCTCAAGCACAATATTAGGTTGTATGAATGGCATCAAGTAGTTGATATTTATTTTATTGATGTATTATTTAATTTTTGGAATTTCTAATGTTTGTAAAAAGACCATCTGTGAGTGATCTTGTTGCCAAAATTATAAGGGGTGATTATTATTATTATTATTTTTTAAAAAAAAAAAATTGTATTTCCCCGACAAAAGATTACATAGGTCTTTCTTTTATTGGTATCAGAGCTAGTTTTACTTGATTACCATTAGGAGTCTTTTCTTATTTTTTCAAATTTGTGCTCTATGAATAAAACTTGCATGAGGTACACATTGAGAGCCGACCTCATCGTCCAACAGACGACTCATCTCAAATAATAAAAAATGAGTATGCCAACTAAAAGAGGAGGAACTTGAGATGCAAGCACATTATTTTATGTGCCATGACGGACTCATATGCTTTTGAGTACGAGTCAATCTATACTGTAAGTGAGATTTTTGATAAACTTGAAAGATAGTATGTTGAACCCTCTCTCATGAAGCAAACTATGACTATGAGAAGGTACAATGATTTAAAAATAGTAGAAGGTACCATGTTTGCTAAACATGTGCACGTGTTTCGTGCGTTAGTCAAAGATTTAGAAGATGCAGGCATGAAGCCCAATAAATCTATGCAAGTGATTCATTTAATGAATTATCTTCCTAATTCATGATAGACTTTCATATCTTCCATCTTTGCTAGAAGAAAGGCACCAAAATTGGAGGAACTCATCACTACCATCAAATCTAAAGAAGAAAGGAGGAGTTCAAGGCAAACCCCAAAGGATGTTGTGCATATGGTAAAATCTCAACCATCTTTTATATTTAAGAAAGGAAAGGGAAGAATTACTTTTGAGAAGAAAAGATATTTCAAAAGAAGAGATTTTAGAAATAAGGGAGCAAAAAGAGATACTCGAACGTGATTTATTTGAAAGAAGGTTGGCCACATAGCCAATAATTATCGGTCCAACAAATCTGGTGGAACTAACAAGGAATTGGCATGTGTGGTTTTCGAGTCCATGCTAGCTGACTCCAAGGAAGCTTCTTGGTGTCTTGACTCGGGGGCTATGGCTCATGTCACAAATACCAATGGATATTATCGTTCTTTCACTAGCCAGGACAACATCATATTTATATTGGATGAAATCAGAAGACTGGTGTACATGAAGTTGGAGATTTTGAGCTAAAACTAAAGAGTGGGAGCACCTTGATCCTAAAACAAGCACTTTATGCTCTTGATATGATGAAGTGCTTGGTTTCGGTTATTAAGATGTCTATGGCTGGATTCATAACCACTTTCATTGGGGAGAAAGTGGTGGTCAAAAAGAGGAAAGATGTGATCATGATTGGACAACTTGTAGACGGGCTATTTACCATTGAAATAAAAGAGAACGTTGCCTATGTCTCGTCCCCTAATGAATTAGATGCTACCCTATGGTATAGGAGGTTAAGACACATTAATATCAAATGAATGGAAAGATTAAAAAGGGACGGGATTCTTCATAATTGTAAGGGAAATTTATCGAAAGTGTGCGAATCTTGTGTGGAAAGAAAACTAATAAGGAAAAATACAACCAGGGAAAAAAGAGCTATTAGCGTATTGGAAATCAATCATAGCGACATATGTGGACCTATGAATATGACCACCAAAAGTGGAAAAAGATATTTTATCTTTTTTATAGATGGCCACTCGCCTTATGGCCATGTGTACCTTATTCATGCAAAATCAGAAGCCCTAGAAAAATTCAAAGAAGCGAGTAGAAAACATGATCTGGGTAACCAATGAAAAGTAAGGGTGAGTAGAAAACAAACCAACTTTTATGATGAGGCCAAAAACAAGGTTGTAGTTCGAGACCCTGAACTTGAAACTTCTAAACCAACCCAACCTGTTTCTGAACTCCCTAAAGAAAGTGAACCTTTACCTGAACCAAGACGAAGTAATCAAGTCAGTAGACCACCTCTTTACCTAGAACATTTTGTCTACATTGGAGAACATTTTGATAAGGTTGGGAAAGATCCAGATTCAGAACCTAAAACTCACCGTGAAGCCTTGACCTGTCCTGAAAGGGAATATTGGGTTGAAGCCATGAAAGATGAGTATGCTTCCATTAACCA